GAGGATGGGATGGATGTGGGGCAAGCGGGCACCGGACCACCCTCGGCAGCTCCAATTTAGCACCTTCCCAAATCCATCTACAGCACCGTGCCGTGGCACTCGACCTGCCCAGCTGCCTGACAAGGCAAAGTTACTCATCAGAGAAACTTCCCAGTAAAGCTGAGTGACACAAACACACACAGAAAAAAGGGATGAAGCTCCCAAACAAGGTCTGTTATTCATCTCTCCTGTTGATCTTTCATTTCAGAGGTGATGCTCCCTGCTGGGCTGTGATTTTCATTACCACTGCCTGCCCTTGAGCTTTTCCTGCACAGCACATTCCTCTGGTGACAGAATGGTATCAGCTGGATCAGGACAGTGGAGACAGGGGAAAAAAAAAAAACCACAGGCACACTCTGCACCCCTCTAGCCTGTACAGAATCCAGGAGTACCAGGTTTGTACCCCACTACTCCCAGCAGCAGCCACACAAACCTCTCCACGTGCGAGGTGATGCTCTGACAACACCCAATTAGAAAACGAGAATTTTCCTGCCATCCCAGTCGAGTGGAAAGTCAGCAGCAACAAGGAGGAAAACACAGACAAAACAATGAATTATTCAAGCCAGACTTCTCCTCCCAGTAGCTAATTTGGAGGTTTAAGCTTGAGCAGCTCAGGGCAGAGGCACCTGAGCCTGGCAGGATGTGCACAGTGACACGAGCAGGACTGTCCCCTCCTGGCACAGAGGAGGAGCAAGGGAACAAAATTTGGTAGGAGACTAAAAAAAATGGTATTAACATATGGTAAATATGGCAGAAGATAAATAAGCTCTTCCCTGTGAGGGTGGGCAGGCCCTGGCACAGGTTGCCAGAGCAGCTGTGGCTGCCCCATCCCTGGAAGTGTCCAAGGCCAGGTTGGATGGGGTTGGAGCACCCTGGGCTGGTGGAAGGTGTCCCTGCCCGTGGCAGGGGTGGAATGAGATGAGCTTTGAGGTCCCTCCCAAACCAAACCACTCTGTAATTCTATACCCAGAGCAAGACCCTACTGGGATCCCCAGGGGTTTCCCCAGCAGCAGCCTGGGCTGCAGGAGGAGTTCCCAGGTGCTGTCACTGCACAAACCCTGGGCCCTCACGAGTCAAACAGGGAGGGGGGAACACGACACACGGAAACCTGACGCACACAGAGGCTCCCAGTCACCTTTGGGGGGCTTGCCATTCAGCAGGGAACAGAGCACAGCACGACAGGCAGATGCCTAATTCTGAAACTTGAAAGGACTTGCTCAGTATTGGACGTGACAGGCACTGAGTCACTCCCAGCCGGTGAAGGACACGGTGCCACAGGCACTCCAAGCCAGGCCCTCCCTCATCACCTGGCTGTGCCTCCTGTCCCCTGTGTCACCCCTGACTGGGATCACTGCAAGCCCTAAGGAGAGGAGATGAGAGCACCCCGGTGTCCTCCCTCTGACAGGCAGCAAACAGGCTTTTCCACATTCACCAGCTCCAGTGTTGTGATAGGGTGCAGGCCAGCAAACAGCGATTTTGGGGACAGTTATCAGCCTGAGCAGCTCTGAACCTCCAGTTGCTCAGTCATGCCACAGATCCAGAGTGAAAAAAAACAAACAAACAAACAAACAAAGAAAAAAACCACAATGAAAAATCCCCCAAAATCCCCCACAGCCCTTTCTCCCTCCCCCACAGGCAGCAGGCTGGGACTCTAAGCAGGAACTTGTCAAGAGGAGTTCAAAGTCCAACCTGAGACACCTCACAGATCAGGCAGAGTTTATCATGGTATGAAAAAAAAACCCCCATGTTTAAACCTAAACCACATTCAGCTTTAACTATAATAAAAGTCCGAGACAAGAGCATGAACCACTTTAAGGAAAATTCCGTGGAAAAACCATAAATATCCCAAGCCTCAGAACCAAACAGGACTTCACCTGCGGCCTCCATCAGAGGTAAGTACGAAACAATACCTGAAGTACCACTACAAACACCACCCCCGCTGGCAGCAGCCTGTTTAAGACCACCTGGAGCCATTAAGTCTCAACTAAATGCTTCCTTTAGCCAGGCCAGCACCAAAATGCAAATGTTCATGCCCTGTCAGTGGTCTGTGACAACCCGAGCCCGGCGGAAGGCAGGGCAGGTCCGTGGGAGTGCAGGAGTCAAGCGCGCCACAAAGGAGTACACTCACTCCGGCTCTGATTAAGCGGGGCCGTCACCAAAACAGAGGTCAACATCAGAAAATATTTTGTGAGTCATGAGGAGAGATTACTCACCGTGCACCACTCAACTTACTCATCGCAGTGTGGCACGGCCTCCTCGGGGCACCGCGGCCTCTCCTTCGAGCCGGGGGAAAGGCGGGGGAAGGAGCCGCACTTTCGGTTTTGTGAGCGAGCCAGTGGGAGGCTGGAGCTGCTCCGCCACCGCTCTCCCCTCCCACGGCCCTAATTACACGCGGAGGGAAATACATGTTTCACATCAGCCTCCCCGGCTCTTTTAGCGTCCCAGCCAGCTTGGCAGCCGGGCTGCTGTGCGGGCTCAGCAGGCTGAGGAGACCCCACTTTTTCTATTTAGATGGGAAATAAGCAGCAGGCCGGCAATAGAGAGCCACGTTATTAATCCAGGCAGCCGTTAATAGGGGAGCTCAGCCTTTTACGCAGCGGCACCGACGGCACTCATTTAAGATGTAGTAAGAGCATAAAAATAGCCAAGTTACTCAAGGCAGGGTTACATCACCCCACGGAAGCCGTCACGCAGCAGGTTTACAATACACAGCCTCGGATGTTGGGAAAGATGATCCCCTGCCAGTCCTGCAGCTCTCACCAAAAATAACCCACCAGGACCCCGAGCTTCCCCTGCCCTTTCCCTCCAGCTCCCTCTGGAAACACACCTCACCTAGGACAGGAAACGGCAAGAACGCTGCTAAATAAAACTACCTGAAGCATATCTTCCCCCAAAAACACCTGAGGTGTCCCACCTGGCCCACTCAGAACCACACAGCAGCACCGCTGGTGAAACTAAGAAATGCTGTGCTTACGTCAAACAGAGCCGAGAGCTCTCAAACCAAACCGCCTCGGTGCTGCCGGGGAGGCACATCTGCAGTTCAGCAGAGCACAGTGTCAGCAGGCCACGGGCAGAGAGGGATTTGCTTCCAAAGCTCCAGGGTTCATCCGCAGCGCGCGTGTGTGCGAGCACGCGTGTCCCACGCACGCAGCCCGACCCGCTCCCCGGAGCTGCGGGGAGGGGACATCGATGGGCTCCAGATGAACCAGGCACTCGTGAATGACCGGGGGAAAGCCGGCAGTGGGAAGGGGACACTTTAAGGGCAGGATGTTTGGGGTCTGGGGTGTTTCTCAGCACATGGGGATCACCCCCCCCCCCCGGAATTTCTGGTTAAGAGGAAGAAATTAATTCCCCAGAATTTCTTCTTCTGGGGAAAAAAATTCTACGTGCTCTGCCATCTTCAGAACCAGCTGCTCAAGTTCTCCTTGAATTAACCAAATCCTCATTTCCCATGCTGCAAAACACACGTTTCACCCTTAAAATAAAGGGCGGGGGGGGTGTGGGGGGGTGTCGGTTTATCGGTTTTTAGCCCGCAGGGATCTCTGTGAATAGACAGAAAACCGCCCCTCCCTCCCAGATTAACCCCCTGTCCCCTATAATCCTTCACCTCTGCCTCGCAGCAACCCGCCGCGGGAACACGAGTTAATGTTTGGCGACGCGCAGCCCAACCCGAGCTGTGGTCATCGCTGCACTTTCAGTTTCTGACAATTTGAGCGGAGCGCGCGCCCGCCAACACAGGCGGCTGACAGGGAAACAGGGAAACAGGGAAACAGGAACCCCGCTCGGCCGGCATGTGCCGGGCTCCGGCCCCGCCACCGCCACCGCGGAGCCTTGTTCGGGAAGGCAGGGACACGGCAGGGCTCACCGGAGCCCGCGGCCACCTCCCCTGCCACGAGCGAGACGTTTCTAATCGTTCACACACACACAGACAAGCGCCTCGCGATTGCCAAGAGAGCAGCGACAACATCAGCAGCGGTATCAGCTGCCCCAGCCTGTGTGTCCCGGCGTGTTCTCACGTACCGCAGCAAAGCCTGGAACGCAGGGATGATCAACAGCGCTCGGGGCCGGGGGGAAATATACGGGGAGATTTTTCCTTTACGAACTGTTTCTCTTAGGGTGCTGCAAAGCCGGGCGAAAGATCGCGCTCAGCGGTTGATAGGGAGCCTACACGCATCCAAAAAGACCCTGCCGAGCCTTTCGGCTCCCGTGGGATTGTCACTAATTCGAACATGGACATTGTTATCAAGGTCACACATCGCTCGGCCGGGCTCGGCGGAAAGTCAGGCAACTTAGGGAAAAACGCGGCCGGGTAACTAAAGGGAGGACAAGTGACATTTTATTTGGGAGCACGAGGGCTGCGGCCGGCTCGGGATTCTGCCGGGGATAAATAAAAAGGGGAGCTCCAAGGGCACGGCCGGAGGGGGACCGGCGGCAGCCCGTGACACCCAGCGCTGGCTCCCGACCCGCGGCCAGGGCTCGCCGCCCCCGATTCCCACCCTGCGGCTGCTCCCGGGGGTCCCCACGACCACCCGGGGCCACCCATCATCCCAGCGCCGCTGCCCAGCCGGAATCCCCGCATTCCCACCCCGGCCCCGAGCGGCCCCCGCTTTATTACCCCGGCCACACGAGCCCGGCTCAAGGGAAAACACGAAAACTTTTCATTAAGCAGTCCTCCTCCTCCCCGCCCTTCGCTTTTAGTCAACCAATTATAAAATGAAATCGGGGATTTGACTTCCAGGGCGAGCGGCGGCGGCACCCGGGGCCGGGGCTCTGGGAGAGGCGGGGGTGGGGGGGGAGATGGAAGACCCCGGGGGGCTCATCCCGCCTGAGGGGAAGGGGGGGATCACCCCGATGGATCCCGGGAAGGGCCCGAGGGATGGGGGAGCGGCGAGCGAGAGCCGCGGCCGGGGCAGGGCCGAGGGGCGCTGACAGGGCAGGTGCGGGGCCCGGGCCATACTCACGTAGACGGGCAGCGGCCACGGGTACACGGCGGGCTCGGCTCCCACGGGCGACTTCAGCCGCAGCTCCAGCCTCTCGCCCATGTCGGCAGCCGGAGGACGAGGCGGCGGCGGCCCCGCACCATGCTAAGAGGGGCCGGCCGGGGCGGGGTGCGGCGGCCGGGCCGGGCCGGGCCGGGGGGCGTGTGCGCGGTGCGGGGGGCGGCGGGCGCGGGGCGGGGGGCGGCGGGTCCCGGCCCTCCCTCTATTGTCGTTGGCGGCTCGCGGGGCTCTCGGGCGCCGCCGCCATCTTGGGCCGGCGTGAGGCGAAGCACAATGAGAGGCGCCGGGGCCGGGCCGGGCCGGGCCCGAGCGACGCGACAGACGCGGGGAGGGAGGGAGGGAGAGAGGGAGGGAGGGAAAGGGGCGGGCGGGGGGGAGAGAGAGGGGCGGGCGCGGCCTCGGGGGCCCCCCCCCCCCGCCCCCCCCCCCCCCCCCCCCCTCCCTTCCCCACTGTCCTCAGCTGCCCCCGCACCGCGCGCGCGCGCTCCCGCAGCACCCCCCCTCACACACACAGACAGACACAGACACCTCACACACACACAGACAGACACCTCACACACACAGACACATACAGACACACACACACACACCACAAACACATACACCCAGACACACCCAGACACACACACAGACACACGCACACATACACACACACACACCACACACACACACACACCCCTCACACACACACAGACACATACACACACACACACCCCCATACACACACACACACAGACAGACACACAGACACCCCCATACACTCACACACACACCCCTCACACACACCTCACACACCCCATCCGCCATGGGGGAATGGGGGAGTAGGGGACAGGACAGGAGGGACAGGGGACAAGGGGGCACATGGGCACAGGAGAGGGCCTGGCTGCGGTGTGACATGCGTGTGACATGTGTGTGACATGTATGAAGGTGACACATGAGCACAGGAGAGGGACAGGCTGAGGTGGGACATGTGTGTGACATGTATGAGGGTGCCACATGGGTACAGGAGAGGGACAGGCTGCAGTGTCACACACATGTGACAGGGTGAGGGTGGCACATGGCACACAGGAACAGGACGGGCTGCAGTGCCAGGCACATGAGACAGAGCTCAGGGGCTGTGCAAGGCTAGAGCACCCACTCGTAGCATGGCACAGGGCTGGCACACACATGTGAGGGCACAGGGCTGGAACACACGTGTGATGACACAGGGCTGGAACACACATGTGGTGACACAGGGCTGGTACACACGTGATGGCACAGGGCTGGCACACACATGTGAGGGTGCAGGGCTGGCACACACATGTGATGACAGGGCTGGCACACCCAGGTGAGGTTCACAGTTCACTGAAAGAACAAGCCAAGCCCACGTGGCTCCTGGTGCAAAGTCTGCACACAAGTGACACGGGCGGTTTGCACAGGCAAGGGGGGGGGTGTGTGTTTGTGTGTGTGTGTGTGTGTGGCAAGTGGGTGACACTGGTGAGAGTGCCAGGCTGGTGCCAGGGGCTCTGCACAGCTCTGAGGAGGAGCTTTACTGGGATGGGGCATCAAGAGCCCGTGGCAGAGCCGAGCCATGGCCTTGAGCCATGGCCTTGCAGCGAGGCAGCACCGTGTGTCCACCAGCGTGTCCGTGGGGACACGGGGACAGGGGGACACGGGGGACTGAGCTGGAAAGTGCCCCGGGTGGGCTTGGGAGCTGTGACACCGCCCTGCAGCCCCACAGAGTCCCAGGAGGAGCTCCAGGACAGCGCTTTGCATTTCTGGAGGTGCCAACCGTGGCCCGGAGCGGTGACAGCCTTTGCATGTCTATAGGTGCCCAGCTGGGCCATTAAATCGGGCCGGAGCCTCCTCCCTTCGCAGCCTTTTGGGTGAGAATTGCCCTTTTCCGGGGGGCCTTGTGGGTGTGGGGACATCTGAGTGTCCTGCCACCCTGCCCTGGGGCACAGGGACAGGAGAGGATGTGGTCCAGGCAGGACCACACTGGCTGTTGGGGGCCACTGAACTGGGCTTTGGCACCAGCACAGATGTCCCCGTGTCAGTGGGGTCATATCCCCCCGGGATTAGGCTCCAGGACCAGGCAGAGCCACCTGCTTCTATGGGGCAAATCCTTTGGGATGTGGCTCCCTACCCTTCCTTCCCCCCCCACCATGGCAGGGCATGGGGACAGCCCGGATTTGGGCTGAGAGGTGGCATCGTGGCAGTGGGCAGGGCATGCTCCATCCTGGGGTGGGAGGGGTGCACCGTGCCTGAAAGGCAGCCCGAGCCAGAGCAGGAGATTCCCAGAGCGGAGCTGGTACATTATTGAACACCTGCATCTCCTGACAAGACTGTGCCTTCAGTGGAGAGGAGGAGCTGTTTATCTGGGGCACTTGCACAGCCCTGTGATGGGGCCAGGGGCTGGGTCGTGTCCCTGTCCCCACAGCCGTGTCCCTGCTTCTGTCCCCACAGCTGTGTCCTTATTCCTGTCCCCCCAGCCGTGTCCCTGCCCTGTCCCCACAGCTGCTCCCTCATCCAGAAATGCCTCCAAACTCATCCTCTCTTCCCTTTGCATCCTTCCCCCCACCCCCGATGTCCGTACGTGCAGAAAGCTCCATAACTAGGAATGCTTTTCTAAAGAAAACACTAAAATCATCAAGTCAGCAGTGCTTAAACTGCTCTGACTGCCTCTTAAATAATCAATTCATTTTTAATTAGCTTACCACAAAAATTCCATTAAATTTAAATAAATAGACATGGCAGGAGTTCTCCGAGGCACAGCGGGCTCCGTTTAAAGAATTCTCTTTGACTTCGTGAGGTTGGTCTTTAATCACTTTGTCGTCCAAGTTCTTGTGTGGCCCAAGGAGGCTCCTGGGCTGTTAATGAAGAGTAGTGGAAGCTCCCAGGATTTCCCAGATGGGTCCAGCCCAGTGCCAGCCATCTGGCTGCCGTGCAGGAGTTCGGGGCATCACTGCTGGCTCCCGGCAGGTAGCGGCGAGTGGGCCACTTTGGAAGCACCTGCCCTGAGCGGGAGATCCTTTTCTCACTGGTTGCTCGGAGTTTTCCATCAGGAAGAAGAGAGGGAAGTGAGGAAGGGCAGTGGCCTGTTTTCTGCTGGTTCAGGGAGCTCAACTGGGCCCTGGAAGATTGAGAGGCACTGAGAACTGGGAGCCAACCTGTCCCCTTGGACAGCTCCTAAGAGCTGTCTGAGATTTTGGGGGGTTGGGTCTGTTGGGGACCTACAGAAAATCTCTTGTGTACGTAGTGACAGGACCAGGGGAAATAGATTTAATCTGAAAGAAGGGAAATTTAGATTGGACATTGGGAAGGAATTCTCCCCTGTGAGGGTGGGGAGGCCCTGGCACAGGCTGCCCTGCTGCTGCAGTCACCGGGGGACACAGGGAGGGCAGTAATGACCCCAAGGAATCCTTGGGAAAATGATGGCTCCAAGCACTCTCTGCACAAGCCACGTGCTGAGGCACCTCTGGAGCTCATCCCACGCTGGTCTATTCCCCTCGGGATGCGGGGTCGGCTCCTCCCCGGGCCATCAACCCCCCCGGGGCAGGGGGAGGGCTTGGCGCGGGGTGGGGCCGTGCTGGGTGGGGGGGCTCGAGGTGCAGCTCCTCCCGCATCTCCCTCCCAGCAGCGGCTCATCTGGAGCGCTGACCCAATTTACTTGACAACAACAAGTCGGAATCACGAGGCAGGTTAAGGCAGGCAGGTCTGTTCCCAGAGGGTTAAATATCCCAGCTGGAGCAGGACAGGATGCTGGGGGTCCACAGCCCCGGGGGTGGGGGCAGCTCCCTCTCCAACACCCCCACTCTGCCCCAGCTCTGCACCCTGGTGCCCACACCTCCCTGGTTGTTCCTAATTTGGGCTCCCCTTGGGTGGTTTCCCCCCGTGCCACCCAAAGCCCTATTTGGGGCAGCATTTCCTGGCAGGACCAGCAAACCCTGGGCTCTGCACACCTCGTTTCGTGGAATGCAGCTGTTCCACCCCAGCTGGAATTGCACATTTCCATCCCTGCTGGCCTTCTGATGGTCCTGTGGAACAGGGCAGGAGGTCTGACACCCCAAACCAGCCCAGCCATGCACAGCCTCCCTTCCCCTCGTGCCCAACAACCCCCAACAGCTTGACTTTCCCAAAGGATCCCTCCTGCATTGCACCAGGGAGGGGATGGAGCAGCATCTGCCCTTTCCATCCATCCCAGCAGCTCCCTGGGCCAAATCTCCCCGGGAATCCTCTGCCTGCAGTTGCCACAACAACAAAGTGATGCAACAGTTCCCTCTGGGGATGCAGGAGATGTCGA